ATTGACTTTACATACTCTTCAAAAAAGTAGCGGATATTGAATACCTATGCAGGTTGTGATATGATAAATAGTCATGGACACTTGATTTGCTTTGAGAGTATATGTTCACAGATGAAGAACTTATCGCCCCAACAGAACCACTGAGCTGCACGTGCGACACGCAATAGCTCCATACACGTGGGAGGAGTTCATTGTCAAATTTGACACTTCAGGGAAGGGTTGATGAAAACTGCCGCGTGCTTGTTTATCCTATCCATGTTTGCTTTCTTATCGGTTCTTGCATAAGATTTACTGTTTAGCGTATCTTTGCTTTAGTGTGTTACGTTTAATTTGCAATGAGACGTCTTCAACATGATGAACGTCTATGTGCTATTGGCATGCTTCAAATGGGTTCTACACAGCGAGCAGTAGCCAACATGCTTAATGTGTCACAGTCTGTGATCAGCAGACTGTAGAACCGGTATCAACAAACACACAATGTTGATGATAGACCTCGTTCAGGTCGTCCTAGAGCTACTACACAGGCCCAGGATCGATACATTCGTACACAGGTCCTGCGAAATCGAGGACAAACGGACAATCAGCTTTCTGTAAACTTGTACCAAGTTACAGGAATTCGAGTTACACCCCAAACGATTAGAAATCGGTTACATGCAGCTCATTTGCATGCGCGACGACCGCGTGTTGTGCCTCCATTGACTCGCCAGCACATGGCAGCGTACAAATTGGGGTAATCATCGATGGGCGCGTGTAATGTTCTCAGACGAGTCCAGATTTACTCTGGATTTCACCGATAGGCGTGCTCGCGTTTGGAGGCGTGTAAATGAGCGTCATGCTAACGTTAAAGTCAGACAGTATGACAGATTCGGGCGTGAGTCTGTTATGGTGTGGGGATGAATCACCATGACTGGCAGAACGGACTAGCATATTGTTCAAGGAAGGGTCACTGGCGTGTACTACCGTGACCACATCCTTGCAGCGATAGTTCTGCCCTTTGGTCAACGTGCAGTTCATCTTTCAAGATGATAATGCCCGTGCCCACCGTGCTCGTGTCGTGAATGACTACCTTCAGCGTCACCATATTGTACATATGCCTTGGCCAGCCATGAGTCCCGACCTTTCCCCTATAGAGCATGTCAACGTCAACCTACAACACTGCAAGAATTGGCCGTGGCACTGCAAGAGGAGTGGGTCAGATTGCCCCAAATCGTGATTGGACGGTTGATTAGGAGCATGCCACGACGAATTGCTGAATGTCTGAGGATTGGTGGAGCAATTAGTCATTATTAGGACAAAAATCAAAAACGTCCACTTTCACTTTTGACAGTGTATCTCTTTGCGAGTGAAATGGGGCCGTCAGGTAAGCCGCCCATATGAACTGTTTATGTTCATGTGTAGGCAATTGGCCTGTTATTAAAGTAGCTAAGTCTTTAACTCAATATCATCAAAAATCTTCGACAATGAAAACACCATTTATTTGTCGCTTTAAATCAACATTGATCTTGTGATCTTACCGGGAAAAGATAACCTTCTGATATCCAATATTTTAGACAAAATAAACATTTTACATTTAGAACACGTATCGTATACCATAATGCGTTTCAGCCCTATTTGTAATAAGGGACTCGAAAAACGTGGCTAGGCATATTCCACAAGTCATGTCAAACGGTGACGCTATATTCTTATCTGGAGAGCATGCCCAATAAATACTATCGGCGTAGACTGGGAAAACCAGACGCTAGAGATTGACATTCGATTGAGAATACTGGCGTATTTCGCCGAACCTAACTGATTACAGTAAAAACAGAAACGATTGAATGTAAATCAATTTATATTCATATTACATTATTGTATGCGTTGCGACCCATTAGTGTCATTTTCTAGGTCCCAAATATTGGCGACTTAGCTCCTTTAACATACACTGGTTACCTCTAATGAAAACAGCAGTGCATTTCCGCAGTTTTGTATTGTTTCTAAATATCCCCTACTTTTTTGGAAGAGTATAGTTATACATAGTGTTTAAGGTCATGAGATGAAGTAATTACTGCCGGAGTTATGGTCCGTGATCACTGAAAAAAAATCTTGTGGACGCTCAAGAAGCTAAAGTTACTATCCGATAGTCTTTAAATCTATACACAGTGTATATAGTTATGGGACAAAGATGCCTATTGATATTCAAGAAATTCCGATAATTACTGAGTTCTAGCCCTTGATCACTTTGAAAAAATTTTGTGGACGCTCTTGGGACTACAGTTAAAATACGTTTGACTTTGAATTAATAAGTCACGAGATGAAGAAGCCTATTGATTTTCAACAATTTCCGATAATTACTTCTGGAATTATGGCTTTTGATCTCTTTGAAAATTCTTGTATTTATCAATATTACTCTTGTTTTCTTAATATACGTACCTGGAGGTCCCTGGGTTGGCCGAGAAAGTTCATCGGAATCTCTCACCCGGATTCGAAATAAAATTAGCAAACATATAGCTAGCGTCAATAAAACCTATATATTTATATGTATCACGATAATAATTGTTACCTATATAATAGAAACATTTTAAGACATGTTATTACCGTAAACATACTAACATATCGCAAAATGGGTATGCAGAAAAGGGTATGTTCACTTTGCATCAAACAGTATTTAAAACTTAACGATGACGTAAATTGTTCAATATTTATAGCCGTACAAAAATACATTAAAGACACTTGTCGCTTGTCCAGAATGTGATCATATATGTATATCAGCTTAAACATTCATATTAGTAAATATTTACAATATGAATTAATTATACAATTCATGCTTTGTATCGATCAAGATCTTTTGAACTAGGTTATTTATTTATTTTATTTTTTTGTGTTCTTCATGTCTTTTTACATATAAAATTTATTTAATATCATTTAAGTTCATGTATGTAATATGTATATATGTATCGGAGAAGACTTTTATAAGTTGTAAAACTTGTGTCTTATCCAGTTGTTTATTGAACAATAAAATATGTTTAAAATTAAAATTTAAACCAGCTTTGGTGGCAAAATGTTCTTTATTTCACAGTATCAAGGGATGAATAAACTACTAGACTAAAATTTCATAAGCCTCCTATTGTATTCAGGACGCCTATTTCACACAAAATCGTATTTTATATCCAAGTGGACCTTCCATATAAACATCTATCAGCATAATAAATTTATGAAAATGCGCATTTAAACAACATTTAAATATTATCTACCACCTGTTTATTGGAATTTTAGATTAAACGGAAACGTTCTTGTTGCTGTAAAATTTATATATATATATATGATAATTTACGGCCTACCATGTTATATAAAAATTTGCAACAGTTTTAACAGCATATCTTTCTGCATGAAATGATAACAAATTGTTTATTGGATAAAACGGAAACATATATTTTTTCTATTTTTTACCTGTAAAATAATATACCATTTATCATTTAATATAGCGTATTTCTACTGATGATTAATTAAGTTATGTAGAAATTTGCAACACGTTTAAAATCCTATCTTTCCCCTCCCTTTTTAGGGATGAGCTGAACAGGAGTATGGTAGTTTCAGGGGTTCCGAAACTAGTTAATGTTCATAAATTTACGTCGTTTTTGATGAATTGCTAAGGTTGCCGCAAGTTAAATATGCGCAGAAACTAGAAACTCCCAAGATATACTCTATAAAGCACAATTTACAGTCAGTTTTTCAAAAGAAATTTTGCGCCTGTTCGGAGGGAACCCCACCGGACCCCCGCCCTTCCAGAGCAACGATCACACCGCCCATGGGGTATCATTAAGTGCATTTTTGCCTATTTGTCTAGTGTCCATTGCTGATGAAAACAGTATTGTTGTGGCAATCACAAGAACTTGTGAAATGAATAACAGACAATCTTATCGGGAATTAATTTTTGAACCCCATATTGAATTCAGTAACTCTGAAAACTTTATTTCTGAAGGAATATCCAAAAGACCAAAAATCAATTCTTTAAATGACATCTAGAAGCACGGTTAACTATTCATAACAAAACACATAATAGAGAAGTAGTTATATTCATATATACATTGTGTTGTGTTTTGTTAAGAACAAAAATCGCCATATTGGATTCTATTTTCATTGTCCATTGTTCATAATTAGTTTTTTTGATAGAAATTGAACTCTGCAACCTAGACCCCCTTAGCCTATAGGCTATAAGACATACAAGTCATATCTAACGGAAGTAAAAAATTTAATGACGATTAATTAAAATTCCGACGTTTGGGATTTCATTATGGTGGCCATTTTGCATTTCTGCCATCATGGATTCTTCAATTTTATTTTTGAGACTAGAAATGAACCTAGCGATACCGGAAACCATATAAATGACATGCACTAGGAAATAATAACGATTAGGCCTAACTGAAAATCCGCCATTTTGGATTCCATTTTGGCTGCCATCTTTAAACTCAGAGACATCTAAAACCTTATAGCTAAAAGTCATCTTACGAAATAGCTGGCATGAAAAATACATATTTTGAGGGTTTTTTGGTCCAATTCGTTATTTCAGCACATTTCGCCTCTATGGAGGACACTAAACCATAGAGGATACGGAATCATTGAATATATTGAAATACTGGTAACACTGAATCAATGGAAATACTGAACCACTGTATCCCACTGAACCGTAGAAGACGTCTAATCAGTAATCACTTAAGTTAACGAACGTAGACCATGATAAACCATTGAATACACCGGGCCATTTAAATAACTTAAGATACAGAACCCTGAATATACCGAATTAGGGACGATAACAAGCCAAAGATGATAATGAACCGCAAAGCATACTAAACCACTGAATATACTGAACAAAAGGAACAGGCCAATAAATAATAAATTCTTTAAATAATGGTTTTGAAAGAAAAGGCAAATTATATAATCACCTGGTTTAACGTGTTACCAGTATGGATACTTCCTGTCAAATCTACGTTATTACCAAGAAGATTAGTTCCTGTCAAACCTACCTTATTACCAGAGAGCGTGCTTCCTGTTAAATCGTCACGTTTTATAAATATTTTAAATTTTTCAGGAATACCGGGTAAATTCCATCTGTGTATTGGTGTATTGGTCAGAGCTAACTGCAAATGAAAAGGGGATGTATTGTACAGTGAATAGTTGTTGAGTCTGCCAATTCCATTTTATTTGGAAGTCCTTGCCCCAGCCCCACCCCACCCCTTCTGGCCTTGTTCCATGGACACCCTATGTATGTTGATATTCAACGACAGAATTGAATTTGACAATTATATTGGTCAATACCTATTCTCTTTCTTTCGACGTTATTGATTTGAGCAAATATGATCGGAGCCTTGAACTGATTTTAATTAAAATAACGAAATAGAAATTATTTACCTTTATTCTATATTTGGGTATTTTAGTCATTGGGGCCATCCAGTCAGCGGCCTCGTATTTAAACAATTCTCCTCGCATTTCTTTATATAGGTTTTGTTCATGTATTCCTTCGGTTATCTGATCAGACACGCTTTCTATATCGGATTCCTGTGTTCCAGTTTCTTGTGGTTCATCTTTTTTATTTGCTTGTTTGACGCCACCAGTAAAATTAAGTTGTTCGCTTTCCTTTCCTGCTTCTTGTAGGAGATTATTTTCAGACAGGCTACGCTTATGTTGGTTTATACGGTGGTCCTTATAAAGCGCCATTGTTTAAAATCACCACACAACTAGAATGAAATGTTCCAATATTTTATCCATTCATTTTATGTACATGTTATCTACATTTCTGCTTACAAATATGTAGATTTGAATAATTTCATAAGCGATAAATTATACAGCATTTTTATACATATTATAACAGTCAAAATTATAGAATTTATCTGTTGCAATTATGTCTAGAATATTTCAGGTATTACTTTTAAAGGTGAAAGGCTTTAAAGAGAATTCTGTATTGTTTTAAACCCTTAGGGCAATAATTGAATTCTTAAACATCAATGACATTAAAGGTAATGTTACTAGTCAATGTTATGTAATACGAATGACATGTTAGTTTATAAACATCTTCATTGTTTATAAGACTTTATAGATGTGCGAATGTGTCCTCATTTTCTTATTTGTCATTATTATTTCACAGAATGAGTTAATAAAAACACAAACAAATTCAACTGAAATTATTTTATTTACCGTAACCTGCTTTCACAGCATTGGCCACGGCTGTTCATTTTATTTTTGTAGTCGGGCTGACACATCTGTCAAAGCCCGAAACAATAAAAAAAAACCCCAAACCAGTTCAACAAAACAATCCAACAACAACAATTCTCAATTTAACTCGGGTTAGCACAATGTCACCTTGTATATCTATATTCATATGCCGATATCTATTAATGGCCAAATAACATGGTCGCCACCAACTGGGGGCAGCGCACACGAAGCAGCGGCCACTAGCCGAAATATCAATCACATCAAAATAAGACAGGTATACTATTCAAAAAAAGTAGGGGATATTTGATTTTTAAGTGTTATTAAAGTCACCTAATGAAACTGACGAAGAAACAAATGACAAAATGAAATGAAGTTCACATTCATCGATTTATTCCAAATGATCGTTAGACTAAGTAAGGCACAGACTGACCATTATAAGGGTAAAATGATACCCGGGGTCAAACAGCAAAGTTACCACAGCATCACAACCAAGTCAGTAACGGGTAAATCCTCCTCTGTTTGCCAAACAAGCATTGATCCGACGTGGCATACTCCTAATGAGACGTCTAAGGTCATTTTGGTCCAGATTGTCCCATTCCTGTTGCAACGCAGCAGCACGTTCTTGGACATTGGCAGGACGTTGTTGACGTTGACGTAACCTCTGTCCAAGCATGTCCCAGACATGCTCGATGGGGGAGAGGTCGGGACTCAGTGCTGGCCAAGGTAATGTGGTGATGTTCTGTTGTTGGAGGTAACCTGTAACGATCCTGGCCCTGTGACATCTTGCGTTGTCATCCTGGAAGATGAAACGGCGGCCATGACGTCGTGCGAACGGCACAACATGGACTGCCAAGATGTTGTCCCGGTAGTACTGGCCTGTAACACGCCCTGCAACAACATGTAAAGCCGTTCTTCCAGCAACAGTGATGCCTCCCCACACCATAACAGAACCACCCCCAAATCGATCATGTCTGATGACGTTAACGTCTTGGAAGCGCTCGTTTCGACCACGCCACACCCTCCTACGTCTGTCCAAAAAATCAACAGTGAACCTTGACTCATCTGAAAACATCACATTGCTCCAGCGTCGATTATCCCAGTGTTGACTATCCCTACACCAACGACGTCTTGCCTGAATGTGATGATCTCTCAAACAAGGGATCACGCGAGGACGTCGGGCGCGAAGGTGACCCCTATGCAGTCGATTCCGAATCGTCTGGCCACTCACTCTCACACCAGTGTCTGTTTGAAGACGAGCGCTGATCTGATTTGCTGTGATGACACGATTTCTCAAGGCCAAGGTACGGATAAATCGATCCTGGGCTTGAGTTGTCGCCCTTGGTCGACCTGAGCGTGGTCTGTCCTGTACAGATTGTGTATCACGGTATCTTGACCATAGCCTGCTTATGACAGACTGAGAAACATTCATCGTCCGCGCCACAACCGCCTGTGTTGTGCCGATCTGTAGCATGCCAAGGGCACGTAACCTTTCATTTTGGGTAAGCCGACGCATATCAAAATTTGTTTCTGGTCACTAAAACAATTAAACTGATGTTTCCACCCTGGAATTCAATGCCACAATGACTGTAACATTCAAAGTCAGAGTCGTGCAAATCTTGGGTTGGACCCCCATGATGATCCCAAGCATCACCTGCATTCCATGCGGTAGCTATTGGTGCGTTTGGGCGTCACATGTAACTGGAAATGTTTCTTCTGTTAGGTTCTATAGTGACTTTTTTCGTAGTCATTTGCATATTTTAGTATTATGCCCCCAAAATCAAATATCCCCTACTTTTTTTGAATAGTATATTATCAATACCTGGAGGGTGATAATTATTTAAACAATTTCACTCAAAGCACCCGATAGCCCAATGAATTGTATTTAGGAAAATGTAATTCCCAGTATCCGAAAGGTGAACACTAGGTTAATGTCAGTTAAATCTGGGTACCTGAGACCAGTGGCGGCGCCAGCTGCCGGTGGTTGGAGGGGCAAAGCTGGGACAAAGTCCAAGGTTAAGGGGGCAAAGGCACGAGCTTCAACTAGGGGTAGGGGGCCTCCCCCAGAAAGTTTTGAAAAACAGGCTGCCGTAAATGCAGCCTGGCAGTATTTCAGGCACTGATCGTTGAGATAAAGTGTCAAACGAACGGACTTGCGAACCTCGACGAAACCCACTCACGAGTGTCAAAGTAGGGAGTCCTTACGGAGGACCTACCCCAGAAAATTTTGAAAAATAGACTGCCGGAAATGCTGCCTGACAGTATTCAGTAAGTCACCGATCGTCGAGATAAATAGATCTGACCAGAAAATTTTGAAAAATAGACTGCCGGAAATGCTGTCTGACAGTATTCAGTCGGTCACCGATCGTCGAGATAAATAGAGCTGATCAGATACCGTCTGTCGCCTGATCACTAGTCTATCCGACCCCAGAGAGGAAAGTGTCAAATGAACGGACTTGCGAACCTCAACGAAGCCCCCGAAAATTTGAAAAGTAGACAGCCCGAAATGCAGTATCTGGCAGTATTTCAGGCACTGGTCGTCGAGATAAATAGAGCTTATCAGATACCGCCTGTCGCCAAATCACTGGTTTATCCGACCAGAGAGGAAAGTGACAAACGTACGGAGTGAGTGAAAGTGAATGAATATGTTCGCCACTGGTTTATCGGACCAGAGAGGAAAGTGACAAAGTGAGTGAAAGTGAATGAATATTTTCGCCACAATAATTTGAGAAATAGACTGCCGGAAATGCAGTCTGGCAGTATTTCAGATACTTGCGGTCGAGATAAATAGAGCTCACCAGATACTGTTCGTCGCCAAATCACCAGCTTATCCAAACAGAGAGGGGGGTGTCAAACGAACGGAGTAAGTGCTTCAAGTGAATGCATATTCTCGCCGCGTTGAACCTATACCCAAAAAGCACTTTTCAAGTGATTCACATGTTATTGATTATAGTAGGTTTACAGCAGGATGGGGTTGTCAGAAATCACTCAGCGGGCTGTACAACATGCAAGTCTATGACTATGACTTGCGAACCTCAACGAAGCCCCCGAAAATTTGAAAAGTAGACAGCCCGAAATGCAGTATCTGGCAGTATTTCAGGCACTGGTCGTCGAGATAAATAGAGCTTATCAGATACCGCCTGTCGCCAAATCACTGGTTTATCCGACCAGAGAGGAAAGTGACAAACGTACGGAGTGAGTGAAAGTGAATGAATATGTTCGCCACTGGTTTATCGGACCAGAGAGGAAAGTGACAAAGTGAGTGAAAGTGAATGAATATTTTCGCCACAATAATTTGAGAAATAGACTGCCGGAAATGCAGTCTGGCAGTATTTCAGATACTTGCGGTCGAGATAAATAGAGCTCACCAGATACTGTTCGTCGCCAAATCACCAGCTTATCCAAACAGAGAGGGGGGTGTCAAACGAACGGAGTAAGTGTTTCAAGTGAATGCATATTCTCGCCGCGTTGAACCTATACCCAAAAAGCACTTTTCAAGTGATTCACATGTTATTGATTATAGTAGGTTTACAGCAGGATGGGGTTGTCAGAAATCACTCAGCGGGCTGTACAACATGCAAGTCTATGACTGAGTGGGGATGTGGGATTTAATCACCGTAGGGTATTGATTACCGAAATGTATCACAAATACTTTTTTTATTTTCTAAATTATTGGGGGGGGGGGGGGAAAACAGAAGGCAGGCCAGATTAATGGGGAGGGGGGAAATACCCCCCCCCCCCCCTTGGCGCCGCCACTGCCTGAGACCCCCATCCCTATGTAAAGTTACATATGTAAAAGCTATTAATCCTTTTCCTTGTTTTTTCCATTACAACACAATCTGGCGAATAACGCCACTGTCGTCTTAGAAGGGTGTGAGACCAAACAACAATAGAATACTGAAGTTCAAGGCCTGTGTACGCAACTACGAGATCTGGTTGAAATGTTCTAAGCCTGAAAAGGATAGATCATTTGGGTTGAAACAAACTTTTGCCACCAACAAGTACAGTCAATGAATGAATCATAGACATAAGACGTGCAACTGTAGTGTTACTGTTATAATTATCTTCGTATCAGACCATCTTGTGAACCTACCCATTGCAATCACCAGAAATGGACAAAACAGGTTATAGGGCAGTCATCAAGTACCGCCAACTGAAATAAATAACCCCAACACAGATGCATGCCGACATGGTCTCCTTTTCACAGTAAAGAAGTGGGCTGCGGAATTAAAGCGTGGCAGAAAGAGCCTTGACGAGACCCGCGTACTGGAAGGCCATCAACAGCAACCATTCAAGAAAACATTACCTGAGTACATGACATGGGGATGGCTGATCGACGATTGTCCACTCGACATTTTACCAGTGTTGCTGACATCTCTTATGAGTGGGTTGGGCACATTATTGCCACCGAGTTAGGAATGACAAAAGTTTTTGCCAAAGCGCCTGACGTGCCGTGACAATCCGCACCGTTTTGAAGCAGATCCTTATAAATTTATGGCCTTTGGCCAGATTTGTAACTGAGACCTTTTTCC